CTCTGAAGCTAGCAAATCAAGTGAAATAAAAAAGTTTTAAAATAAAGCCCAAATACATTTAAAAACCATGCTCTTAACACATTTTCCTTTCAAAATTTACATAAAACACATTTTTCCACTCTAATAGCCCAGATTTTTTTCTCACATAGCCCAGCATGTAGCTGCAGATAGATTATTCTGCCTCAAGATGTAAAAGTAGGGGGAAAAATTTAACAGCATCTGCATAATATTCTCTCTACATACTGTTGTTGCATGTAAAATAGAAAATTAAAAAAAGAAAGAAAGAAAGGTTCCATCTTAGATTCTCATAACCTCTTGTTCCGCCGTTCATGAATCCGACTCTGTGCTAAGGTGACAGTGTATGTAAGTAGATTTTTGTTTTCAGTGAAGGAGACCTGGGAAAAGATGACGTTCTCTCTTTTTCTTCAAGAGTTATCAGATGGTACATGCTCCTCAAAACCCTCACTCTCTCGAACTAGAGCACGTTCCAGGATCACACGGCCTTCCTTGTAACGCTGGCTGTCTTCAGTGGCAAACTCATAGACCCATCCCAGTTGGCTATTGCAGCTTTTACAGCTCACATCTCGAACCATGTGGCGGCCAGTGAGCATGACCCGGTCTCGCACGTCACTGTACTGCAGGTTAACTACCTTGTTCAAAAGAAACGCTCTTCCAGTGGCACCTGTAAATCAGGTGGAGGTGAGTTCTGGGCGCTTGGTCAGAATCGTATCGCAGTTTGCACAAGAAAACAGACGGGTACCACCAATGTGATCGAGGAAAATTCTGCCCCGAGCGGCTGTGAGATCCGCGGCTGCCTGCGGCCCTTCCTCCTCAGGGTGAAGCCCCTCGGCCTCCCTAGTCTCCAGGTTTAGTCAGGCCCGGGCCTTGGCCCCCGAAAAATACATTTATTTTTTAACGTCTACATGCACACGGACAGTCCGACGGAAAACGTTACGGCTCCGTGTGACAGTATCAGTGGGACGTTTGCGGCTGCATCGCCGATGACAGAGATTTTACATCAGGTTTCTATTCCGTGGCCTTCAGAGATAGGCAGGCGCTACCACTGTCATCCGTCAGGCTCCTCCTGTTACGAGACTTAACAAAGTTCACCACTGAGAACAAGGTTCACAGGTGTATGCGGATGAAACCAAAACAGCGGTCGGATCTAGGAAGGCGGGAGAGTGAAGGCAGAGGCATAGAAATGGCTCTTCCCCTCTCTCGTCCGTCCTTGTCCACGGTCTTTAAGATCACTTGTTATGTAAAACTATTTATTTATCTTAGATGCACCTGCACTGAGTTTATCAGAAAAATAAAAAAGTCGATATTAAGAAGAAAATTGTAAATGGGAGATTATAAGAGAGGGTTTCGCGTGCCAGCAGAAGTGACTGGCGTGCCGTGGTTGGCACGCGTGCCAGGGGTTGCCCACCCCTGCCCTACGCTCTTCACTTTTCAGTGTGTTTTTGGCTGTTCTTTTTTTTATATAAAAAAAAATGTGTTATTGATTTCGAAGGGGAAGGGAGAGGGAGAGAGAAACATCAATGATAGATCATCATGAATCCGCCGCCTCCTGCACGCCCCCTACTGGGGATCGGGCCGCAACCGGGGCAGTTGCCCCGACCTGGAATGAACCCTGACCTCCGGGTTCATAGGTCAACGCTCAACCCCTGAGCCAGGCCTGGCCGGGCCCAGCTTTTCCTGATTGCTTGCTTTGCACACAAGCTTGTCAAGTTGGTTTATTTATTAACATAAAACGTAGCCCGTTTTCTCTAAACTTGCAATTACTTGGAGTTCAATGTCCTGGCCCGTGGAACCCGCCCCCTGCCCTGGGGTTACCGCGCGTGGCCCCGAGCGGGGTGATCCGCCTCCACACCGATGTCCCCGGGGTGCCGTCTCCCCCCCGCCCCCCTGCCCCCCTCCAGGTAAACGCCCGCAGGGAGGGACACCGGGAGCCTCCTTCAGCTCCGCGGGGCGGGGCTGAGGCGGGGCGCTCGCGATCCGGAAACCGCCAGACCCTCCCGGCCCGGCCCGCGGACCAGCAGCGCCAACCGCGCCAGAGGACGGCCTGTGCTCCCCACATGGCGGCGGCGGCGGTGAGCGGCGCCAAGCGGAGCCTGCGGGCTGAGCTGAAGCAGCGCCTGCGGGCCCTCAGCGCCGAGGAGCGGCTGCGCCAGTCCCGCCTCCTGGCCCAGAAGGTGCGCGATCGTCGGGACGCCACGGTGGCGGGCCAGGTTGACGGTGCCCGGTTGACGTTCTCCTGGCCGCGCTGCTCGGGTTTGCGGATGTGCGCAGGCGCAGGCCTCCGGCGGCGTGCGCATGCGCGCATCCTACCTCCCCCCCCCCCTCGTCCCCGTGCGCGTGCGTCCCCCAGCGCGCCGTCACCACCCCCCCGCAACGCGCACGCGCGCACGTCCCCGACCCCGGCGCGCGCAAGTTCCCCCCGCCCCTCCCCCGCACTTCCGCCAGCGCCGGCGTGCCTACGTCCCACCCACGGCGTGCGTGCGTGCGTGCGTGCGTGCGTGCGTGCGTCCCCTCCGGCACGCTCACGTCGTTCAGAGCGTGTCTGGGCGCTCGAAGGCGCGAGGCCCGGAGGGAAGGCGGCGGTGAGGATGGCGGTGAGAGGGCGGAGCGGCGACGCCCTGTTCCCGCGGAGGCCGGTGCGGCGACGAGATGGCCTCCGTGGGGCCAACGCAGGTGCTGAGGCGAGAGCAGGTGGGACAGAGACCCCTGGGGGGCGCAGGGCGGCCCTCGCTGAGGTGCCTTTGGTGGGTCGGTCGGTTGGCGTTCGACGTTGGGAACCCCAGGTGAGGAGGTCCCTCCTCTTAGGCAGAGGGCGGGAGAGTCGGGGTGCAGGCTCCCCTGAGCTAAGGCTGCCCCCTCTGAGCCTCGCTCGCTCACCCCCGGCCTAGTGCTAGTCCCGGCCGCGGTGACAGGACGTGCTTTTCCGGGTTAATGAGAGAAAACATGGATTCTCCCGCCGCCCACGATGGTGGGGAGCAGTGGGGAGCCAGGTGGGGGTGAGCGGGGTGCCCCGTCTGGGGGTTCCACACGCGCCCTTGGTTCCTCTCACTGCGGCCTCCTGACAGACTGACAGGGTGTCCCCCCCAAAACGGACACATACAGTTGAATACTCACTAATTCCAAAGGGTTTAAGTGTGAAAAGAAACACTCACGGAGCCGCCTTAGACGTGCGGATGCGTTTTGGGGGGACACCCCGTGTTTCGGGGTGTTGACTGGTCGGGGGTTGGTTGGTCGGCCTGGAAGTCGCGTTCTGAGGGCGTTGGGGACTGGTGTTGGGGGGACACCAGGGAAAAATCCACGTCTGGCCAACACATAAATATTAGTAACTTTTTAAAGAATATATTTCTATTCATTTCAGAGAGGAAGGGAGCGGGGGAGAGAGAGAAACATCGATGATGATGAGAGAGAACCATGGACCGGCCGCCTCCTGCACGCCCCCCACTGAGGATCGAACCCGCAACCCGGGCCTGTGCCCTGCCCGGGAATCGAACCCGGGACCCTCCCGTCCTCAGGCCGACGCTCTATCCACCGAGCCACACTGCCCAGAGCAGATATTAGCCAATAAAAAAAATGTATTTCTTCAATCACAGCTGCCACGACCTATAGATATAAAAGGCTAAAATGCTAAGTGTCCGACCGACCAGCCGGTCGCTATGACGCAAACTGACCACCAGGGGGCAGACGCTCCACGCAGGAGCTGCCGCGACGCGCACTGGCTACGTACAGAGAAACGGCAGCGCGGACCTGGCGCCCACAAAGCAACACGCGGCCTCCCCCGAGTGGGACGCAGGCCCCGCCACCGCCCCAGAGCGACGGCCCAGCCAATCGCAGCTAATGCCACCAAGACCCCATGGTCAGCCTGGAAACGGTGGCTGTGGGCGCCGGGTAATGACGTCACGTAGCAACGCCCGGCTCCCGCTCCCTAGCGACAGACCATCTATATACATAAAAGGCTAATATCCCCAGTAGGGGGCGTGCAAGAGGCAGCCAATCAGTGATTCTCTCTCATCATGGATGTTCCTATCTCTCCCTTTCCTTCTCCCTTCCTCCCTGAAGTCAATAAAAATGTATTTTAAAAAAATTAATGGGGAGAATTTAGGAGTGAAACCCAACAAGGCACAGGCTGAAGAAGTTGTGGGCGCCAAGGTTTGGGGTTAAAATGATGCAAAGACTCGAGGGCAAGTGTGCGAGAAGAACGGGTCGGCGGAGACCCAGCCTGGAGTTCTCTCAATAAACAGCAGGGTCCCACGGTGACTTATTTTTATTATTTTTTAAATCAATACTTTTATTGATTTCAGAGAGGAAGGAAGAGGGGGAGAGAGATAAAAACATCAGTGATGAGAGAGAATCATTGATTGGATGCCTCCTGCAGGGATCCCCACAGGGAACCAAGCTGGCAACCCAGGCATGTGCACTTGACCAGGAATCAGCTGTGACCTCCTGGTTCATAGGTCGATGCTCAACCACTGAGCCACACCAGCCAGGCCCCACGGTGACTTTATAATGAGTTTTCATACCTACCAAAGTAGGTGAGCCGGAGAGGTGTAAAGAGATGAGACAAGTAAGTGTTGGGTTAAGAGCAAAATTTAGGGTTCAGCACCCCACTGTAGCACTCTGCTTTTGTTTTTTTGGTTTTGGATAAAGAAGTTGAAGAAGCCCTAACCGGTGTGGCTCAGTGGATAGAGCGTTGGCCTGCGGACTGAAGGGTCCCGGGTTCGATTCCGGTCAAGGGCATGTACCTTGGTTGTAGGCACATCCCTAGTAGAGGGTGTGCAGGAGGCAGCTGGTCGATGTTTCTCTCTCATCGATGTTTCTGGCTCGCTATCCCTCTCCCTTCCTCTCTGTAAAAAATCAATAAAATATATTTTAAAAAAAGAAAGAAGTTGAAGAACATGGGAGAAAATGTTGAAACTGTTAAGGGGAGTCACTGATTTTTAAAAGTATAATCTTGGCAAATACCATGGCCTGCGTTTCCCATGCAGGTGATCGCCCACAGTCAGTATCAGAAGTCCCAGCGAATCTCCATCTTCCTGAGCATGCAAGATGAAATCGAGACCGACGAGATCATCAAGGACATCTTCCGCCGCGGCAAGACCTGCTTTGTCCCCCGGTACCGGTTCCAGAGCAACCACATGGACATGGTGAGGTTGGCATCGCCCGAGGAGATTGCTTCGCTTCCCAAAACATCCTGGAATATTCATCAGCCCGGTGAGGACGAGGCTCGGGAGGAGGCCTTGTCGACAGGTGAGCACGCGGTACCAGGATTGACAGGCTCGGTACTGGGAGGCTGCGATGAGTTCTTAGACCTCTGAGCCGCGGGCGATGTTTGGGTCTTTGGGGGTCGCTTTCCCTGTCGGGACAAATTTGTGTTCTTGTATCCCACGACACCCACATTGCCTGACTTGGGGTGCCCTCTGTAAGCCATGAGAGTCAGCTATAATAATAAGCTAGTAAGGTATTAAGACTCTTGCCCTGCCCTGGCTGGTGTGCCCAGTGGATAGAGCATCGGTCTGCGGACTGAAGGGTCCCAGGTTCAATTCCGGTCAAGGGCATGTACCTGGGTTGCGGGCACCTCCCCAGTAGGGAGTGTGCAGGAGGCAGCTGATCGATGTTTCTGACTCTATTCCTCTCCCTTCCTCTCCGTAAAAAATCAATAAAATATATTTAAAAAAAAAAACTCTTGCCCTAACCTTACAGGTTGAGTTACACATTTGCCCCGAATAATTTTTTGTTGTTGCTAATCCTCACCCAAGGGTATTTTTTTCCCATTGATTTTTAGAGAGAGTAGAAGGGAGGGGAAGAGACAAAGAGAGAAACATCAATGTGAGAGAGACACATCAATTGTTTGTCTCCCACACGAGCCCGACCAGGGCTGGGGAGGGAGCTGGGATTGAGGTACATGTCCTTGACCGGAATCGAACCCGGGACCCTCAGTCCGGGGGCCAGTGCTCTGTCCACTGAGCCCAACCTGCTAGGGCTCCCCTGAATAGTTTTATTATTTCCCGTGGTTTCAGTTCTGGTCTGTATAGTGATACTCACATTCTCATTCATGCAGAACTGAAACCTCCTTCCTCTCCATCCGTTATCTGCACCATGATGGAGACAAGATTCTAATGCACACACCTGACCCCGTACTCCCCTGTGGAAGCCTTTCAGTGACTTCCTGCTGGGTCCTGCTTATTTTTCTACTTTGACATCTCTCTGCTCCCCCACTTCCAGCCACTCTGAACGTCTCCCGTTTTCCCACTCCCTTTGCCTTCACTGCTGCTGGGCCTTGACACATGCTGTTCCTGGCCAGCAGCTGCTTGGGCGATTTAATGACTGAGCAGTCGCAGAGCTGAGAGCAAGTGCAGCCAAGAGGACTGTTGTGTGATGCAGCCCCTCAAACCTGCCTCAGAAGCGGATATTGGGGCTAAGATTTGAGTGCTCGGCAAAAAACCCCCAGCACAGCTTTATCCCCCTCCCAGTGTGACACCATAACCTACAAAATCCGTCATCTGTCGGGGTGGCAGGGAACGGGGTCCCGGGCTCACAGGAGTGGGGGGCCACCGTCTTTGCTACTAGAACTTCTGTTACCCAGTCTTGTACCTTGCCAGATGTTCAGACACCAAAGGTGCACTCTGTGTCCTGCATCCGTAGACCAGGTGCACGCCACCATCACACAGCTCTTCTTGTTTCCAAGAAGCAAGGTTGCAGGCATTTGAAGAGAATGAGGTAGGCCTCTTATATAATAAAAGGGTAATATGCAAATAGACCAAATGGCAGAGCAACCGAACAGCCAATCAAAGCGTAATATGTTAATGATACGCTAAGGCTGCTCAACTGCTTGCTGTGACGTGCACTGACCACCAGGGGGCAGACAGTTGACCAGTCGACCAGTAACTCACCAGGGGGCAGACGCTCCAACCCGTAGGTTAGCTTGTTGCTGGGGTCCAACCGATTGCGACTGAGTGAGATGGGCCGGACATGCCCCGGGGCCCTCCTGCTGTCCCTCTCCCACCTGGTTGTGCACCTGTGGGGTCCCTCAGCCTGGCCTGCACGCTCTCGCAATTCAGGACCCCTCCGGGGATACTGGAGAGCCAGTTTTAGCCCGATCCCCCAGGCCACTCCCCTTGGGAGGGCACCAGACGCAGGGCTCATGGCTGGCGAGCACTGCCTCAGCAGCGTAAGCCTCTCCTGATCGGAACTGATTGGGCGCGAGCCCGCGGCAGGCACAGTGGGGCCGGGGTGAGCGGGAGCAGCAGGTAGGAGCTGCAGGCGGCATTGGACTGCGGGTTTCGGCCCGATCCCTGAAGGCCACCCAGAGGGACCCCACCTGTGCACGAATCTGTGCACCGGGCCTCTAGTTTCCTTATAAATAAGGGAAGATGGAGTTGTAGGCGTTCACGCTGCTCATGCCAACTGCACCCTTTCCCCCGACTTGCAGGCCTGCGGGTGGAGCCCGGGGTACTTCCCCAGTCCTGGTGGGTTATATATTAACAGGTCCTCCCCGGCCCCTGCATCACCTCTAACCGTCCCTACTAACGGAAAGTCTACCCAGAGTCCTCCAGGGGCAACTCATTGCCTCCGCCGGTCAGTGCTGCCCCTTCTAGAATGCATTCCTGAGGTCGAGCTACAACGTGTCCCCCTCCCCCTCCCTGTATGTGTCCTGTTTCTGGTGAAGGACAGCAGTGGGAAGAGGAAGGAGGAAACAGGATCTTCCCTCTCAGTTTAGTCGCACTTCCGGGTGAGATGAACCCGGTCTGAACAGATGAGCTCAGGCATTCACCTGTGGCTTTTAGCACGTCGTCTGGTTTGTGTTACAATGGTAACTGTTATTAATTTTAATCAAGGAAAGGGGAATTATTCATTATGCAGTCAGCTCATTGCCTATCGAGTGTGTAACATTCTGATGATTTCCAGCAAACATTTCTGAGCATCTGCTTTGCACAGACACTGTGTTAGTTCAGGAAAGAGAACGTCCAGGCCTTCCACGGGCCCAGCTGTCGCTGGGGAGACAGAAGACTATGTAAATAGAATAAGCATCCCCACCTTCAACATCTGTCAGGTGCAAGTGTCACGTGAAAATAGACAGAACATAAGGGAGCAGCCCAGTGCTCCAGCCTGAAGAGAAACACCTGGTTGCTCCTCCGCCACAGCATTAACCGCCCGGGACAGGCCACTTTCTCACCCCTGCCGCTCTTTGCGGATAAGCAGAGGGACAGTGGGCTCTCCCTGTCGTTTCTGTTGATTGCAGCCTGGCAGCTGGCCCTCTCGCTGTTACAGGAGCATTGCAGTGGGCGGCCTCTGCGCTCCCTTATCTCCCAGGATCCCACTCTGCCCGGGGATTTTTCCTTGTGTCAGCAGCTCGCACTGTGGCGGCTCCGGTGCTAAAGCATAAATCCGGCTTTGTGTGCTAGGGACAAGCTGATTAGAGCCGATGGTCACCAGTGTAGCTTATGTAGCTCATTTATCTTCCTGGTCTGCTCGCATTAGCGTGGCCTAGAAAAAAGAGCGAGCTTTGGTGTCCTCCGTGCGATCAGTTCCTAAGCGCACGTTTCACACGCGGTGTTTTTGTGTTACAATTTAAAAAAAAAATTGATTGGAGAGAATTTGTTGTCCCACTTATTCATACATTCATTGGTTGATGCTTGTCTGTGCCCTGGCCAGGGACAGAGCCCACAACCTTGGGATGTGAGGACGATGCTCTAACCAACTGATGCTCTAACCAGCTACCCAACTAGGGCACTATTTTTATTTATTTATTTTATATATATACTAGAGGCCCAATGCACGAAATTTGTGCACGGGGGGTGGGGGAGGCAGTCCCTCAGCCCAGCCTGCACCTTCTCCAATCCGGGACATCCCTCTCACAATCCAAGACTGCTGGCTCCTAACTGCTCACCTGCCTGCCGGCCTGATCGCCCCTAACCACCCTCCCCTGCCGGCCTGGTTGCCCCTAACCGCTTCTGCCTCAGTCCCCACCACCGTGGCTTTGTCTGTAGGCACATTTGCTCTAATTAGTATATTGTCCTTTTATTAGTATAGATATATTTTTGTTGGTTGCAGAGAGGAAGGTCGAGGGAGAGAGATAGAAACATCAATGATGAGAAAGAACCATGATCGGCTGCCTCCTGCACGCCCCCTACTGGGTGTCAAGCGCACAACTCAGGCACATGCCCTTGACTGAAATCGAACCCAGGACCTTTCAGTCCACAGGCCAACGCTCTATCCACTGAGCCACACCAGTTGGGGCTAGGGGACTATTTTTGCGTTATGTATACAGCAAAGTATCAGATTGGTAGATGAAGTAGAGGGCCTGCCTGCCACTTTCTTGAATTTATCCTCCAAATCAGGGCTGCTTGGGTAATCTGATTCCATCTGGGTGTAGCAAAATGGGATGTGATTGGCCCAGAGACTTAAACATCCCCAGAAGGGCGAGCTTTAGCGATGGCCGGGTCAGGGTCTTTAGGATCCACCCTGGCTCTGACCTTGGACCCTGCTCTCACCTCCGCTGGCTGCGGACTGGCGTAGCCATCTGCCCCCCCAGGGGGGTCTGGGGTGGCCTCTCCCTGAGGGGAGAGAACCTGCCCCCAGAGTTAGGCTGTGGGAGGCGCAGCCAACTCTGCTCGGTCCTCACTTCGTCTCCTGGTTTCAGGTGGGCTCCCTGCAGCCCAGGGCGGTCAAGGGCTTCTCCCAGGACATGAGGCCGCAGCCAGGACTCTGGTTCCCGCGCCAGGGCCGGCGAGGCACCCCCGCTTTTCTGTCCCCTCCCGCAGTCAGCTCGCTCTACCCCGCGCCTCCTCCCTTTCCCGGCAGCATCCTTCACCCCGGACCGGCTGCCTTGGCGATGGTGTTCATGGAACGCTGGTTCGCTTTCCCAGGGAAGCCCTCACTCTGAGTCAGGCGTCTCACAGACGCTGGTCGTAACCTCCAGTCCCCCCACCCCCCATCCCAGCTATTTTATACGCAAGTGAACACGCAGAGGAAGGCCGAGGCTGCCGTGGGCACCGGGGCCTTGCGTTCGAATGACAAGGGCCTCCTCCTCGGCTGCCTGGGAGCCGCTGCAGAATTGTCTGTTTTATCCTGTGCAGCAGCTCATTTAGCCTCTATTCTCGTCTCACAGCGGCAGTTTGCTTTTCCTGAACTCCCAGCCCATTAAGATGAAAAGATGCTTCCTTAGGGGTTCTGGCCTGTTATTCTCGCCAAGACGGGTTCGCCCGCCCACGCTCTCATCACCAGGCGCGATTCGCCGAGTGTGCCGTCCATCACTGAAGTGCCATTCAGAGGCCTGACCCAGGTGACTGGGAGGTGCCCACACACAGCTCTTCGGCTCTTCAAACTCCTTTTCCAGTTCGCTTTTTATTTCATTACCTTTCACTGAGACATCAGGATGTCTCTGAGGGGTATGTATGTTTCTGTATATGTTCAATTCAGGGAAGTGGCAGAATTTTTAATTCTCAGAGAAGCTTGAAATGAGAAAAAGGAACTTGCTTTTGGTTCAGTGTTCTGACCCTTGCACCCCAAGCCAGAGCGGCGAAACCTGCGTGTAAGTAATCGCCGTCATGGTGTACAGGGCTGTGCTTTCCCTCCCCTCCCATTCCCCCTCTTTATTTATGGGATTTATTGGGGTGACATTGGTTAATAAAGTTATATAGGTGTCAGGTGTACATTATCCCTATGCTAGAGGCCCGATGCATGAATTCCTGCAAGGGGCTCGGCCCCGCCGCCATGGCTTTGTCCGGAAGGATGTCCGGTCTAATCAGCATATTACACTTTTATTATTATAGATGTTTCTGTGTGTTCACCACCCCAAGTTGAGTCTCCTTTCACCGTTATTTATCCCCTTGATCCTCTTCTACCTCCCCCCCTTCCCCTCCCTCTCTCTCGCTCTCTGTCCCTCCATCCCTCCCTCCATCTCTCTGTGCCCCTCCACGGACCAGTTTTCTAGTTGGTTAAGTGGGGATGTAACTTGGTGTCCAGAGTCCAGGGACCTGTTTGTGGCCCGGACACCTGGCTGGCGAGGGCCCCCAGGAATCCTCCTTGCGCAGTGCTAGCTGTGCGGGAAGAGCCAGCGGTTTTGTAACCAGCTTTATAAGGCACGATCCTGCTGAACTGGGAACTTTAAAAATGGCGAGAGGATCTCTTCACCTTTTCCTGGGATCTCGGAGATACGGTCCACTGGTGTTCTGATTTCTCCACATACCAGTGGGGTCCTGCTTTTCCCGGGGGGCGGGGCTCTCTGGAGTCACGGGTCTTTCCTCACCACCACCCCCTCCCACCCCCCGTGGCTGATCCAGGGGCTCACGGGCTCTCCCTGCAGAATAAGTAGGCTCCTTCCTGTGGCATTGGAGGCCCTTCTCAACACGGGCTGAGCGTGTCCGCACTCGTAGGTCCTGCCAGAGACAGCCATGCTTCCCCGCATCTGTGCCTGTGCCGGCTGTTTTTACTCCTTCCTCCTGCCTCCCTATCCGGGCCCTTCAGCATCCCCCCATTGAGTCATTGCTGGTACCGTAGGCCATCTCCCTTAGGGAGGTTTCCCCGGACTTGTCCCCTTCTCAGTGGGATGCAACATTGAACTTCTTACCGTGAGGTCTGATCAATAATTGAATCGATACCCCCTCCCCTGGGAGCTGACCTTCAGGCCGCTTCACAGTGGACATGCCACTCGCTTAGACCACCTGCCACTGGCTAAGGCCATTCTCTCTCCCTCCGGCTTTCCCAGGACCCGGACCTGCACAGAGAATTCTCTGCCCAGAAAAAGCTGCCTCGAGTCCTTTAAAACCTCTGACTCCCCGTCTTCAGGGGCTGGCGCCGTTTTGGGGCTCAGCCCATCTGGTATCCGGATGACCTAATTAATTCATATTTCTTCGCCCTTCTGGCCTCGTGCGTTCCTCCTTCGGCGACCCTAGCCCTTCGTCACTTGCCTCACGCCCTATCGCAGTGACTTGTCTGTATACATACAACCTGTTCCTGCCTCTGCCCAGGTGGTTAGACCCCAGAGACATCAGTCGTTCATCCCGCCCGTGTCCTCTGGCTCCGCGGACAGTGACTTGTTAGCAATGGCTCTTCTTGACTTGATGCCGTTGCGTTTTGATTGAGCTGCAGATCTTTAGGATTTTTTTTTTTTCTGCCTCCTTTTTTCCCATCGGGTGCTCTATCAGGTTTTAGGGAACATGTAGGGTTTCAAGAGCAGGCTTGTCCCCCCCCCCCCCCCCGACCTACGGAAGCGGGTAAAAAGGGCAGTTGGAGTGAGAAAAGCACTTGGAACGCATCCGTAAAGGCCGCTGTATGGAGCCAGGTGCTGTTATGTCAGGGTAACGGGTCACTCTGTCTCGGGCCGGCAGCAACTGAGTTTGTTCCAGATGCACAGGCTCATCCGAGCCGAGCGAGGAGCCCTCCGAGGGCCGGAGAAGAGGGCGAGCGGGAGAAATGTAACGTGCCGTGCGGTTTTATCTTAGGTAAATGTACTGACCCAGAAAGTCTGCAGGCTGTCAGGTGCTCGCTTAACAAGCCTCGGTGAAACAAACGGCGGAAGCCGCTGTCGGGGCTTAGGAGCCAGGCCTGTGCGATTAAGTCCCGTAGTGACTCTGAGGGCTTGTCCTCTAAAAGGTGAGGAAGAGGATGAGCTCCAGAAGCACCCACGCGTGCCTGTGTCTGAAGCGACCCCCTCACCGCTCTCGGGCGCCCCCAGGCCTTGCTCTTCTTTCTGACGCTCCTGCTGCCGGCCAGACTCCGCTGCATTGACCCGGACCTCGTTCTTACTTTCTGTGTGTTTTCATCCTCACCTGAGGGTATGATTTTCGTCGATCCCAGAGAGAGCGGAGGGAGAGGGAGAGGGAGAGAAACACCGATGAGTTGCCTCCTGGACATGCCCTGACCAGGTGTCGAGCCCACCGCCCTTCAGGGTTCAGGGGGACGCTCTAACCTCCTGAGCCTGCTGAGTCCAGGGTCCCAGGACGTTCTAGCTGGAAAAACTGAACCTCTGTCCCCCTCCCCCCAGCCTCTGGGAACCCCCTTCTACTCTCTGTTTCTATGAATTTGACTATTTTAGAGCCTTCATATACGTGGAATCATACGGTATTTGCCTTTTGGGGGACTGGCTTAAATATTGATTGTATCATACAGATAAACATAAAATCCTATATAATAAAAGGCTAATATGCAAATTGACCAAACAGCAGAATGACCAGTCACTATGATGTGCACTGACCACCGGGGGCAGATGCTCTACGCAGGAGCTGCCCCCTGAAGGTCAGTGCGCTCCCATAGGGGGTGCACCACTCAGCCAGAAGCTGGCTTCATGGCTGCTGAGCGCAGCGGCAGTGGCAGGAGCCTCTTCTACCTCCGTGGCAGCGCTAAGGATGTCCGACTGCCGCTCCCCGTGAAGAGCAGGCCTAAGCCATCAGTCAGACACCCCCCCAAGGGCTCCTGGACTGCGAGAGGATGCAGGCCAGGCTGAGAGACCCCCCCCCAGTGCACGAATTTCATGCACCAGGCCTCTAGTTGTATCATAAAATTCTCCGAATTCCTCCCCTTTGATTCTAAAGAGGCCTGAGCACGTGAAGCATCCCATCCACCCCTGTTAGAGATGGATGAAGAGAAGCCAGAGACGGCCCACAGGCAGTGAGAAATCGAAGTGAAGTCTAATTCTTCTCTGTGTAAGCGCCACTGATTGTCAGGAGCGGTGAGAGCGTCCCCAGCTCTGACCGACACAGGAGCTGCATTGGGAAAGTGCCGTTTGGGTAAAGCTGCTGCCCTGGTCCTTCTCCTGCGAAGCATTTTGTGTGTCTGCGATAAAGAAAGACAGCCGAGCCCCCCCCACCCCCACCCCGCCCCGCCTCCCAGTGAGATTCTTTTTGGTCAGTCTCTGCAGCATAGAATAAGCTGAAGTACAGTGTTTCTTTTTCTCTTTTAACCTATTGTAGATGCTGGAAAGCTGGGCTCAGTGAACTCTTTGTAAAGGGCCCGAGAGTTCCTATCTGGGGCTCTGCGTGCTGTGTACTGTCTGTGGCAGCGATTCAGTGCTGCTGTGTCAACAGGAGGCAGAGCGAGGCTGCGCTCCACCAGCGCTATACCCACAAGACCAGGCGGCGGCCAGGCTCGGCTCCCAGCCACAGTCACCCACACCCCTCTGGTCGAGTGCTGGGACCCTCACTTCTCCTGGTCCTTGGTGTGTTAGATATTTTTAAAAATCTATATTTTTATTGATTTCAGAGGGAGAGAGAGGGAAAGGGAGAAAGAGATGTAAACACCAATCATGAGAGAGAATCACGGATCGGCTGCCTCCTGCACGCCCCACACTGGGGATGGAGCCCACAACCTGGGCCTGTGCCCTGACCGGGAATCAAACTGTGACTTCCTGGTTCACAGGTTGACGCTCAGCCACAGAGTCATGCCAGCCAGGCTACATATTGATTTCAGAGAGGAAGGGAGAGGGAGAGAGAAACATCAATGATGAGAGAGCATCATTGATCGGCTGCCTCCTGCACGCCCTGCACTGGGGATCGAGCCCACAACCCGGGCATGTGTCCTTTATTGGAATTGAACCTGGGACCCTTCGATCCGAAGGCCAACGCCCTATCCACTGAGCCACACTTCCCAGGGCTAGCTTGCTATCTTCATTTTTTAATTTTATTTTTTTAAAAATATTTTTATTTATTTCAGAGGAAGGGAGAGGGAGAGAGAGATAGAAACATCAATGATGAGAGAGAATCATTGATCGGCTGCCTCCTGCATGCCTCCCACTGGGGATTGAGCCGGAAACCCGGGCACGTGCCCCTGACTGGAACCTAACCCGGGATCCCCCCAGTCCTCAGGCCAGTGCTCTATCCACTGAGCCACACCAGCCAGGGCTTGCTATCTTTAATATAGGAGATAGCTGCTATCGTTGCTTATGGTGATGATGATGATGATGATGAAGAAAATAATGCAAATCCGATGATCATTATCTCCTGACTTTTATTCATGTAATCATGTTGGAGTTATTTTCTGTGCACCACGCTAGCTAGCCTTCCAATATAATGGCAAACACACTTAAGAAAATAGCTAACGTGTTTGAAGTACATCTTCAGAGGGGGACTGGAAGTTTTTCTGAGTATTCCTAAAAATCTTTCTCTTTCTAGAGGAAAATAGCGTTGTTCTGATTATAAACACAAAATGAACTTAAGTAATACTGAGAAATATAGAGAAGAAAATACACACCCAGTCCCCAAACCCAGCGGCCGCCACCGAGAACCAATGGCAGTCTCTCCCCGGATCCCGTCACGTGGCCCCTCCGGACCCACGGCCCTTCCCCGCCGGCTCGTGCGCGTGGAGGGCACTGTGTGGACTGCGCAGGCATCCTCGCCCGGTTTCGGGTTCTTCAGCCACTGGAGGGGGGTGGGGGGGAGGGATGGGGGGGCAG